GGAAAACAAAATTAACTTTCCCTGGGAGTCAATAAACAGTGAAACATTTAGGAAATGTAATGCCTGTAAATCTATCCTGTTACCTTTAAATTTAGGAGCATCACCTGAAGGCAGCACCGGGGTCCCGCTCGCTCTCTTTCTAACCACATCATATGACATCACACACAGGGCTGCATGCTCCTTTCTCTCAGCATCCTTGAAGCCGCCTGCATGTTGTCATGGTGATTCTTTATAAGGAGTGCTCTCGCGCCCCCTACCTTTGAAAAGCATAAATGCAGATGAAAATGTTGAGTACTGTTGTCTTCAGTTACAACTTCATCCTGTTTTTTGTTTCAACTTGGCTTCTTAAAAGCCAATATTTCTCATTATCCTGCACATCAGTTTGCATTGCTTCAGCATGGCTTTTCTATTTTCCAAAAATTTGGATGGGTTTTGCCTAAATTGTGCCTTATTCATACAATAATTAGCCCGAAATAAGTTTTGCCCCACGTGCATGGAAAATGGAAAATTCTTATTGAATACCCTAAAAGCTTTCTTGAAAGCAGCTGCCTCGTTGACCGGATTTCCATAAGTTTCTTTGATTACTTTTACGATTTTTGAAAATGGGAGTTATTTAAATAATTTTCCAAATATAATAGAATAACTAACTAAACCAAACAAGAGCATTTGGGGTCAACGTGTTTTCTTTTCTGTCTCGTTTTTCTTATATTATTCATCCATCTATTTATAGTGTTTTTTGTTGTATGTATTTTTTCTTCACATATGTGTTGTTAAATAACTGCAGCTACTTTCTTTAGTTACATCATCTCTTTAACAAGTCTAAATCTCCTAAAACAAATGCTAATCTCTCATTGAGATTTATGTTCTTGAAAGAGTTATATATTAAATTTGCAAAACCTTCCTACCATGGCTTGTCAATATATGCAGCTAAATAATAATGCAAATAGTTACAAGATGCTGCAAATTAAAACCTTTAAAAAATGTTTATGCCCAAATTAATATTAAGTCTAATTTATACAGCTAAATAAATCTCTGTTTAAGAATTGTGGGTAGTGGTGGCCAGGCAGTTAAAAGCAGGTAATTTGCATCCAGCGACGAGATGATACTGCAAGCTGCTCACTGCTCCTATAAGGATGGTAAATAAAGATGAACATTATAACCAAAAAAATGGTCAGCAGCTGATCTAAACTTGTCAAAAATGATCAAAGTGATTGCACAGGCAATATCAATACACATTTATATTCATATATTTCATTTTTAACAAATATCTGACTTTTACTTTAAATTGAAAGTTTCAGGAAATATGTTTCCACAATAAAAACTGTGATTTATTCCAGTTTATTACCATGTTAAAGTCCAGTAGATTATATCCAAATATCAATTATGCAATAAATACAGAACTATTAATTTTTTATAGTTTATAGTAATTCATGCTGTAACAGAAACTATTCCAAAGAAAAACCTTTAATATAAACACCTATCTGTGTAACCCCATCTTCTACAAATTACTACACTAATACAACTATAATCAAACTCTTTGCACATTAACTCTTAAATAATTTCACTGTTATGCATAGGGGAAAACAAGCCAGTCCTCAACTAATCTAAACCTGCTCTGTGTTGCTTCAACTCTTCTCTGGATAGATAATAATTACACAAGAACACAGATACATATCAAATAAGATTAATCAAGATTTAACACAAGCTATGCAAATGCTTTAACTGGAGGGCTGTGTTTTTACCTGATTACTTTCTAATGAGGTTACAACATGCACTCATGCAAAAAAGTGGAGAAGCAGAAGAATAATTATAACATCCATGGAAATTAGATTACTGTTAAACCCCATTTATTAGGGCTATTAATGAGCTCACACAGATCCACCATGTCTGGATATGTGAATTGTTTCAGTCTTATATGTAATCACTTACAGTAACTCTACTGCTTTGTAAATCTGTTCAGCATTTAACTGTGTGGGAACTATCGCAGGGGATTTTCTACCTGACAGTTGTCACATGTCTTAATTTCTGTCACAGTAAAAACATAAAAGAACAACAACAACATCTGGTAATGGATGGGGAGGGGTGGCCCAGTGCTTAGGGCATAGAGCTTGGAATCCTGACGCTCTGAGTTCGAGCCCCACTACCACAGACTGCCACTCTGGGTGTCTGGACAAAGACCTGTTAAAGATAGGCTCTGTGTATGCACCTTGATGCTCCGTCTCTCCGGGTTTTTTTTTACCCTGGAAATCACTCGGGACAAACTCTTTACATAACACTTCATAACTTATATGTATTAAATAACCAGGGGACATGATAACAGATTCTGATAGAAACTGTAATCTTACTCAGATCAGAGAAATTGCTTAGAATCTACAGAAGGCAGCTGCTCACCTCTGAGGAAGTGGCCCGGATTAACAGTTAAAAAGGCATTTTATACATCTCCAGTCTGCCACATCATCTTATTTTACATCATACACGTTAGCAGATGATTAAACATCCATGGCTCCAGCCTTATCAAAATAGGACACTGCTCTCATTCCATTTCCAAATTTTTGCCACGTGGAGAATGAAGATTATAACTGTACATCCAGACAGAGGAACTGTCCTAATTAGATTAAAACGTCAGTTTTGACACTCAACAGGCAGCCAATACCAAGGAGTAATAAACCAAAACATCTTCAATAATTATCCTAACAGATCCCTAGCCCCACACTGGGCACAGCACAATGGCAGCCCACTGCTCCAATGGCGTAACGGCACAACAATAGGCCTGTAAGCGACATTATCTAGGTATAAAGTACAACACTCTGGATTACCCATAATTCCAAGTCGTGGTGTAAAAAATAAAATACTCAAATATATTGTTCTTTTAAGATCTTTATTGCGGTTTGAAACATATTATATGAGCGTATTTTTTTTTTTAAACCAACTGTCTAATGAACTATACACATTTATTAACATAGTAATTAAAAGTGGGGAATAAATAAGGACTGGTCAGTCATCTTGAAATCAGATGGGTTTTAAGAGGAATTTTTCACACCATTACATCTGCAATCAAATGTCCAACTCCACAATTGTGATGGGGCCCCTAAGAGGTCAGGGGCCCTAAGCAACTGCAGTCTCTGTTTATGTACGTCAATGCACTGCTCCCCAAGGGGATGGGTTAAATGCAGAGGTAAATTTCTCCAAGGTTAGATCAATACAGTTAAATTATTAATTTCTGTTGATGACTCCAAAAATAAAGACACTGATGTACGTCTCAACGATATATTTTGTTGTTAAAATTGATCTTAAAGTAGTTTTAAGATTGAGTTTCATCACTCAATATCTTTTGTGTTTTTATTTTATTTGTTAATTAGATTTCAAAATGACTTATTGAGCCTACAGAGAAAAATGTGTAGAACTCTTGGAATAATTTGATCTTCTAATGCCTTTCTATGAACTATCCAGTGAATTTGCCATTGGCGCCTTATTGACGGTCGACGTATGCGGGGATCTAAGCCCCGCCTCCTTCTTGTTTTTTGGCGTCAGTCTGGGTTGACGTTAATGCGCATGCTCGGACTGGGCGGGTCAGATGTTGGTGGACATCATCATCACAAACTGGGCAAAGTTTTCCCACAACTGTAGTAAAGTTAGTCACGAGACCACGGATGTTGGCAGGAGGAGGGAAACCAAGAGCCGCGCAGATTAGAGTCTGTTAAAGTTACAGGATTCCATGTTTCTCCGTGGAAAGACTTTCCGTTTCTCCCCTTAAAAAACCCATTTTTAGTGGCTGCTATTTTATGCTCGGAGTAACGCTGTGAAGATGGGACTTATTCCCTGACGAAAGGAGCTCTTCGTTTAGAACGAGCGGTGAGTATTTCAAGAGGAAGCAATAGTTTGACCAGGAGATTGTGTTTTTTATTATTATTAAAACATAAATCTGTGGAGGCGTGTCTAGATTAACCCGGTTTTACCCTTTCCCTCTGTTTAAATCTCTTCGCTTTTAATTGATAGCTGTATTTCTTGGGGGACAAACCGGTCATTTAGTCCACTATCTGTAAATGTGGGTATTTTGGGCGAAATCTCCCGCTGTTGTTGCCAGGAGATCTTCCGCGCCAAGCATTTCAAAAAATGGTTCACCTGCGCGGGCCGATGGTCACTTCCTCCGCGCTGCCTCAGCCCGAAGTCTCATTGGCTGCGTGTTGTGAAAGGGGAGGGGCCCCCTCAGCCGTTTAGTGCAGCGATTGGATGCAATGTCTGTCAGTTACCGCCAATACTTAGAGCTTACTTACTTTTTCTAGTTTTCAATTCGCTGTTTCAAAACGTTTACCTTTCCTGTTAATCAGCAAATATACTTTAGATCAATTGTATACTATTTAAAAGCTCTTCTTGTTTGGAAATTGTATGTTTTTATAGCGAAAATTGTGTCTTAAAATTTTATTTTGAGTTTAGATGCGTTAACTATGTCTCAAATATCCATATTTTAGACTTAAAACCCACAACCTTGCATTTTATTGCAGTTTTATATACTAGACCAACACAGTAGGGCTTAAATAGGATATTGATGGAAAGTAAAGCAGGATTTTGACCAAAATCAATGAAAATGTGTATGTTTAATACTTAATATAACCACATTACACTGAGATTATAGCTGCTGGTCCGGTGCTATATGTTACTACTATTTTTGCACATCTTAACACTTTATATTTGCTAAATAGCACATGATTGGGCAGATTGGATGGAGAGCATCTTTGTGAAATGTTATTTTTTTAGGCTGCATAAGAGACACTATTAGATCTAAATAAAATCTGGGTCATTGCCAAGCAAGAACATGCTCTACTGGATTTCATGGTGGTATGGTTAGGGCTATTGACCTGCTGGAAGGTGAACCCTTAACCCAGACCTGTTTTTTTTTTTTTTTTTTTTTTAGGATTTCTCTGTGTTTCTTCTGTGCTCTTTAAAATGTTGTTTTATCTAATATTTTCTCAAACTTTGGAGACATCCTGGAAAGCGGGATCTTTAGTTAAATAAATTGCACATATGTAAACATCGTTATTTAAAGGTATAGTACACCCAAAACATGATTAGCCTTCATTTTCTACTCACCCCCATGCTGAACAACACTCTGGAGTACTTTTTTGATATCTCAAATGCATCTGGAGATCTGGGAGGCTTCTTGCTGTCTGCTGACATTCAAATAATGGAGGTCTATGGTGACCGAGACAGAAAGGTCCATAAAAGTCCACAAAAAACGTGTCAATATTCCTCCATACTGCTCGTCCAATGTATTCCAAGTGTCCTGAGTGGGTAGCATCCAGAATTTACTCGAAACGAAGTCATTTAGAATGTTTTTAGAGTATAAACAGTAGTGTATAGGATTTCCTGAAAGCGCGCACATGCGCGCTCACGATGCTACGGAAGCTGGCAGACCAAACCAGATGAAAGTGCGCATTCAGCGTCTGCTCTGCCAATAATGCAAGCGTAGAAGAAGAAATGTGCTGTTTACCTGTGCAAAGAAAGAAACAACGAAAGAAAAATGTCTGAGGACTTCAGTGTTGAGGAAGAGCATGAGTTCTTTGCTGAGCTGAATGCGCACTTTCATCTGGTTTGGTCTGCCGGCTTCCGTAGCGTCGTGAACGCGCATGTGCGCGCTTTCAGGAAATCCTATACACTACTGTTTATGCTCTAAAAACATTCTAAATGACTTCGTTTCGAGTAAATTCTGGATGCTACCCACTCAGGACACTTGGAATACATTGGACGAGCAGTATGGAGGAATATTGACACGTTTTTTGTGGACTTTTATGGACCTTTCTGCCTCGGGCACCATAGACCTCCATTATTTGAATGTCAGCAGACAGCAAGAAGCCTCCCAGATCTCCAGATGCATTTGAGATATCAAAAAAGTACTCCAGAGTGTTGTTCAGCATGGGGGTGAGTAGAAAATGAAGGCTAATCATGTTTTGGGTGTACTATTCCTTTAAGGGTTTTTAGATGAGAATCCGTTCATGTCTGGATAAATGCACCTGAAGGTTTACATTTTTAGATCCAATCCTGAGTAGTTGGGGAATCCCAATAAGTTAACTCGTACAAGAAATGTGTTTTGCAGGTTAGTTTTCCATGTCTCCAATCGAAATCTTTTTGTCGTTGTTCTAGGATGATGGTTTCGTTTTTGCCCAAATTTCTGTAAATCCTCTTAAAGAATCAGCTGGATTGAGTATCGAAGGAACTGCTGAACAATGGGGCCCTTTACAACACCCAAAAAGAGAGCGGAGGCCACTTCTGCTGATCCCTGGACGCCGACCTCCAACCTTAAAATGCTCATCAGTGCTGCTAGTCCTGAGATCCGGAACAGGGAAAAGGAGATGTGCATGGAAACTGATGAAAGGGACGGCTTAGAGCCCACACAGGTAGGGAAAGTTGTCACTTGCCTCTAGATAAATGTGTTTGAGACGCCTTTTTAATGGTTATATGTTCCCTGCAGGAATCTGAAAACTGTGAAGAGTCAGAGAAAATGATCAGCAGAAAAGACAAGAGCCTTGGCTTGTTGTGTCACAAGTTTCTGGCCCGCTACCCAGATTACCCGGATTCAGCCCTCACAGATATCTGCCTGGACGACGTCGCTGCTCAGCTCAGTATGTCTGCAAATTATTTCCACTCTTGCTTAAAATCTGTTTCCACAATTTCATCTCACTAAACTGAGCAACGCTTGGTTTATCCTCTCGTGCAACACGCACAGCTGTAGAACGGCGGCGCATATACGACATCATGAACGTCCTGGAGAGCCTGCACATGGTCAGCCGCTCGGCCAAGAACCGCTACTCTTGGCATGGCCGGACCAAGCTGGCCGAGACCCTGGCCATTTTGAAGCATGTGGGAGAGAAGCACAAGTATGGGCAGCAGATGCAGCAGATCCGGCAGCGCGTCGCTGACGGAGAGTTCGACTTTAATGGAGAAGAGAAAGAGAATAAGGATGTGGTGGATGTAGATGGTGGGGAGCAGAAGGAGCTTTTCTTCGTGGAGCATCCAGGAGTCGAGTTTAAAGCAGGTGAGACACAGACGATTCCGGCTTTAATTTATCTAAGAAATGAATTTAAGACTATTTTTTTAAAATATCCCTCCCTTCTCTGCATGGACCACTCTTCCTTTCTCCTCAGCTTCGGTTAATAGTAGGAAAGACAAATCTTTGAGGGTGATGAGCCAAAAGTTTGTGATGCTGTTTCTGGTGTCTAACCCGCACGTGGTCAGTCTGGACATGGCAGCAAAGATATTAATAGGAGAGGACCACGTCACGGATCAAGACAAGAGCAAGTTTAAGAGTGAGTACAGAACCTAAAACCCACATCTGTCCACATTTTTCTCTATCAGGTCTTTTAAAAATGACTTGCTGTTAATTTATTTTTTGTTTCTCTTTGGGTTGACAGTAGATGACATATTTAACCGGTCATGTGTTTACAGCCAAAGTGAGGCGATTGTACGACATAGCGAACGTGCTGCGAAGCCTGAAGCTGATTGAGAAATTCCACGTGTCAGAAGCAGGGTCAAGAAAACCAGCTTTCAAATGGATCGGTCCTGTAGAGCTACCCCCACTAAAAGGTACTGACACAAGTCTTGCCTGTTTCCTCTCCTCTCTCCCATTGGTTCATCACCCATCCATATCTTTCCTTAAAGCCTCATGAAAAAACTTTTTCCAACTGTTGTTTTTAGATTTGACAAAATCTTCACCGGAGTGCCCTTCCAAGAAGAAAAAAGTACTTGAACCATCTGTAGAAAACTGTGCCAAAAACCTCTTTCCTTCATCGGGAGGCAAACGCAGCTTCACCAGACACCCTTCCCTCATAAAGCTCGCCAAGAGCATTCAGGATGACCGGCGTAAGATCAACTCTGCCCCCAGCAGTCCGGTTAAGTGTGTCCTCGGTATGTAGGGTACATCGTTTGGGTAGAAAAGGTCACTGCTCCAGTTTTTTTCAACTTTCCAGATTAACACAGTGTTTTCGCCTCTCTGTTCTCAGGGGATTCGGCTAACGTGGACTTTCCCAGCAAAATGGCCCAACTTGCTGCTATTTGTAAAATTAAACTTGACCAGGAATCGAGGTGAGATTAATAGCATGGAGTTATCTTGGTGCTTGGTTTTGGTTCAGTATTAGCTTCTGTATAGAGGAGCTGGTTCCCTGCTGAGCTGCTGAACCTCCATCATCTGTTTTCTGCTTTGTTGATTGAGGAACTTTTTAGCCTTGGCTTGTTACATTCTTTATCGGTCGGCTAAGCCTGTTAGGGTCATTAGATCGGGGCTACTGCAGTAGCCCACCATGGAGGGTGATGCTCTGCATGGTACGTCTATGATTGTTCCTTAATTTGAATTTAACAGTAAAAATCAATGTAAACCTTAGAGTTAACATTTAGTGTTATTTTTGTTAAATCTACTGCAGTTTCCATATATGTTTAACTATATACAAAAAAAAAAAATTATCAGATTCCTAATTCCCTCTCTTTGTTTCCAAGAAAACTGTTACCAAAATCTTGCCCAATTTTTCCTAATGTTGTGGTTTTATGTCAACGCTAGAAAATAAACAGTTGGTTCTTGATCCAGCATCACATAGTAAAGGGTCTTGCCTCTGTTCCAGGCCAAAGGAAACTCCAGAGCCCTCCGCTCCAGAGAGAGACACAGCAGCCGAAATGTTACAGCCATCCTCCTCTGGTCCCATGGATCCACCTAAGTTGCCTTTATTAACGGCGACTCAAGAGCCCGGAGGCCACCGAACTCCAACCACACCTCAAACAGGACGAGGCCCCGTTTCTTTCATCCCTGCACAGTGTTCCCCCCTGATTCCTGTCCTTATACCTCAGCAGCGGGGGAATGGGCCCTACGCCGTGTATTTGCACCCTTCCTCCCTCAGGTCAAACCCTCTGTCCAGACCACAGCCAACTAGCCTTGCTGTGCGCTCCATGACGTTTGAAGACAAGACTGGACAGAGTCCAAACACCCCGTCTGCAGCTAAGAGCCACCTGCTTGTCAAAGAGTCCGATGGCAGTCCTTTGACTCTGAAACGTCAGCGTTCAGATTCCACCTCAGAGAGCAGCCCCTCTAAAGCCAAGAGATCTGACTCCAACTTAAAGGTAAATAGAAATACATGTGGTGCAATTAAAAAAAACTTGAAGTTGATGAAAACCTGACAAATGACTGGCTCCATCACCATGGTAACTTACAGCATGTCTTTTTTTTTTTATCTATCTTCCTTTGACCACATAGGACAGTTCTCCGAAGCTCTGTGAAATCCTGCAGGCCCGTCTGAAGGCGCGCCGTGGTGCTCACCTCGTCAGCCGACCCTCGCCCCGTGCTCTCCACTTGGACCCAGAGTTTGTTAACACCCCAGGGAGCGCCTCAGACAATCATGCTCTGGACCACAGCTTGGAGAACCTCCTGGATAAAGAAGAGAAGATGGCAAACTCTGATAGCGAGGCTGGTTTCACACCAGTCCGGGCGGTTCCTCTCACACCTGGACAGATCCACTCAGAGGTCAATGCGCTAACACTCTGCTCACCTTGCCTCAAGGCATGACTCAGATCCACTCTGTTATTTACTTCTAGTTCTTTTTGTTCTCTCCAGACTCTAGTGCCAGCCGGATACTTGATCCCAATTTCACAGCAGTCCCTTATCAGCTACAAGGAATTACAAAGCTCTGGAGAAGAAAGCGGCAAAGCCTCACCCTCTTACAACATCTACCAAACCCCGACTGCCGGTGTGTATCTTTTCTTTTTAGTAACGGAAGGAACTGAACTTTAATTAAAGGCAGGAGGAAGAAGATTCATGTTAGTTTCTCTTTCATCTTCAGGCTCCAGACCTGCAGCAGCAGTGGAGGTGACACCCACCAATCTTCGAATGAACAAACCACCAAATGCTGCCTCCGTCTCCTCTCCGCACACCACCCAGCAGCCCCACCGCCTCAGCGGCCCGAGTCCCGCAATCCTGAATTTCACACTGCAGAATTTTGGTCTGATCTCCAGCCCAGGAGGCACCTTTGCATCATCACAGACCCCAGAGCGCTCCGGTACCCTGCCCAGTCCGCTAACTCTGCAACAGAGAGGAATGGTTTTCATCAAACCGGTTTCTCCTGTTCCTGTCCAGCAGGGGCTGCCTGGTCAGCCGCTCACACTGATCAGTGTGCAACAGGTAAACATGAAGAGTTCTTGTATTCATCTAAGTGTTTAACAGCTGAATAATCTGACACAATATCAAAGACAGAAACGGAGGATGGCGCTAAATTTCCTGCTGTCTGTGACCAACAAGAAGTAGCTCTTCATTGTCGCAGACAGAGCAATTCCATGCTGTACAAAGTTCTAATGGAGTCTGGAAAAAATACAGAATTTTTATTTCCATTTCTCCATATTGTTTAAATCTTCCCTCATTCCTTCCTTTAGTCTGATATTCATGCATCAATTCTGCAAGAGTGTTCTAGATCAGGCATCCCCAACTTCGGTCCTTAAGGCCCGCTGTCCTGCAGGGTTTAGAGGTTTCCTTGCTCCAGCACAGCTGATTTTATTTGAAAGCTGATTAACAGGCTTTTCTACTGCAATCATTATAATCAGCTGTGCTAAAGCAGGGAAACCTCTAAAACCTGCAGGACAGTGGGCCTCGAGGACCAAGGTTGGGGATGCCTGCTCTAGATGGTCTGATGTTTGATGTAAACGCTCACTTATGAAGAAATATTTGCCAATTAATTTGTAGTAAACTGTTATTTTTCAATTGAATGCAAACTGTAAGGGGAAACCCTTTGCTTTCATACAGTTTCAAAACAAGATTGAAGACCAAAATGTAATGGTAGGGTTGGTGGTTAAGAGAGAAAGAATGCATGGCACTCCCCTGGTACTCGAGCAACACTGTTCTCTGTGAAAAACATCTAAACTGACTGGTTTTGTTTTTTCTGACCAATGGAAAAAAACTGGGGGAATTCCTCTTGGACTGTTGTGAGAAAACTTGGGGAATAAAATCACCCATAGGCTCCATTTTTACCAAATAGTTCTACAGTTTAATAAGCAGAGCTCCTTACTTGTGTCTTTCCCCCCTAATGCAGAAATCTCCACAGATCACATCAAGAAGTTTTAAGATTTTTGAATCGTATTTATTTCTTTTTTCTAACTTGTGCTCCCAATCTGAACTTTTCTGGCAGCCTTTGATGACCACCCCAAAAGGAACAGGACTCCCTCAGCACAGCTTCTTTCACACACCGGTCCCGCTTTCGCCTCTGGCTGCCATGGTAACCACCAACGGACAGCCGGCCACCAAAACTGTTTACATCCCTCAGAGGAAGCTGGACGTCTCGCCTGAGGACTCCTGATGTCGATGTTGGCAATAAGTGTTAAACATGAACTTGTGGGTGGAGGGTTGTCCGTCTGTCTGTGTGTCTTACGTGTTTCAAGTTATTCGTTACCTCTGAACATTTCACAGCTTCATTGTGGCTTTTGTTATCACAACCAGTCATAAAAATAGCTGCCATGCAGACTTTGGCTGAGACCCAACAGACTTACGGTAACCGATATAAAAGCAGTGCAGATACCCAGGAACACTACTGTTCTGCTCCATGCGACTCTGAGAAATGTTATCCCCAGGAATGCATTCAAATGTACTAACTGTCTTGCTTTTCTTTTTATTTGTTTTAATATTCTGGATTTCCTTTTGCTTGAAATAATTTCATCTATGGTGTAAAATTTAGATAATTTTTGCACATATGTACATGTGAAATGCTACAACCTGAAAAAATTCTTGAATATGTGAATATTTTATGCTTTCTGCATCGAACATTTTGTTGGGTTTAATTTATGAGAAGAGAATGTGTTTGGTTTTATGCCCTGGTCTATGTAAAATGTTGAATGCATTTTAAAAAGATGTTTTGTAAAAACAGCAATATGCGTTTTCTTGTTAACTTTCTTAACATAAATATTACACTCATTGCAGCAAGATCAAACAATGTAAAGTTAAGTGCCTCATCTCTAAATCCTCGAGGGCTTACTCTAAATATGTTTTCTATAAATCATTACGTATTGGATTTATAGCGTTATGAGGTTGGACCAGTTCTAATTTAACATTTATTGGGACATGATGAAACCTCATTATGACCTTGCATCCTCTTTAGTAGTGCAACAAAATCCATTACATAACGAAAGCTGAAAAGACGTCACAAGTAAGAACAGCTTTTGGTTCGAAAAAAAAGGAACATCTAAATTCTAGAACCACACTCATCTCCACAGTGTAATAACTGACTGATAGGCTGAATGGTGGCAGTTCATCAAAAATTATTGGGCGGGACAATATATATATATATATATATATTTTTTTTTTTTTATTGAGGCACTAAATAGAATGAAACAAACCAAAACCAGGCTATAGTTTCCCTGTTTAAAATATTAAGTGAGCCAAAGAGCCACTTCCATCCATGGTCAAATAAGAACTAGCAGAAAAGAACTTGAGCCTTCCTGAAAATAACAAGCTAAAAGTGGAACAATGTGAATTTTATATAATAATTAAAATAGAACTTTCTTTGGTTTCTTTGCCAGCCCAGATATTTAGACACTTGTTTAGTATTTTCTTTAACCAGAACTACCCATGAGGGCAAAGATAGACACACCAGCTGTCAGTTAAACAGATTGACCTATTCAACCAACTAATCTGCTCTGACAAGTCAACTTTAAAGTTTTTATATAACATGGTAGCAGAGGTGTCAAGTAACGAAGTACAAATACTTCATTACTGTACTTAAGTACACTTTTTAGGTATCTATACTTTACACCATTACTTATTTTTCTTCCTACTTCTGACTTCTACTCATTACATTTTCACACAAGTATTTGTACTTTCTATTCCTTACATTTTTAAACATTACTCGTTACTCTTGGCTTCGGTTTCATGTTTAGAAATATTTATTTCATGTCATGTGCTCCATCCAATGCAGATCATTGGCGCCATCCACATCTAGTGAAAACTAGTTTAATTGGATGAGTCATATAACACAAACACTCATTGATTAGTTAAACGAAATCATCAGAAGTAAGCAGGTGTTCTTCAAAGTGCAAATGCAAATTTTCTATGCCATGCTACAATTTTGGATTCAGAAAAAGATGCTTAAAGGTCGGACACAGGCGAGAGCAACAAGATCTCCCTAATCCTTTGCCCTATCTCAAAGAATTTTTCGAAATAGTCAAAAAATTGAGTTTTAAATTTTTTTAAAGGTTATTTTATACTTTAAGTAGTTTTTGGAGCACATACTTTTTGACTTTTACTTGAGTAAACAGGTCAAGTTGATTCTTCAACTTTTACCAGAGTGTTTTTAAACTGCAGTATCTATACTTCTACTTAAGTAACACATGTGTGTACTGTTGACACCANCCATTACTTATTTTTCTTCCTACTTCTGACTTCTACTCATTACATTTTCACACAAGTATTTGTACTTTCTATTCCTTACATTTTTAAACATTACTCGTTACTCTTGGCTTCGGTTTCATGTTTAGAAATATTTATTTCATGTCATGTGCTCCATCCAATGCAGATCATTGGCGCCATCCACATCTAGTGAAAACTAGTGTAACTGGATGAGTCATATAACGCAAACACTCATTGATTAGTTAAACGAAATCATCAGAAGTAAGCAGGTGTTCTTCAAAGTGCAAATGCGTATTTTCTATGCCATGCTACAATTTTGGATTCAGAAAAAGATGCTTAAAGGTCGGACACAGGCGAGAGCAACAAGATCTCCCTAATCCTTTGCCCTATCTCAAAGAATTTTTCGAAATAGTCGAAAAATTGAGCTTTCAATTTTTTTAAAGGTTGTTTTATACTTTAAGTAGTTTTTGGAGCACATACTTTTTGACTTTTACTTGAGTAAAGAGGTCAAGTTGATTCTTCAACTTTTACCAGAGTGTTTTTAAACTGCAGTATCTATACTTCTACTTAAGTAACACATGTGTGTACTGTTGACACCACTGCACGGTAGAGATAGCATCATGGTGAGGGGATTTTCTTCACAAACTGCCCCTCAGAAAGCGTAACCTTGCAATGTAAATTACCAAAAACAACACATCTCAGTGCATTTCAGCAAAGCTTGTCTTTAGCTCACTTGTAAAAGTATAAAAAGAAACTTAAAATGAAACCAAGGAGCCACTGTAGCGATCTAAAAACATTTTTTAGATCTGTTTTAACTAGTCTCTTATCTCAGTTTAGTTTTGACTTGAATATGATTGATTGATGAAACAAATGAATTGACCATAACAATAATCCAAAAGGACAAAATCATACATTATTATCTCAGATTTGCTTGTTGACGCCACTGATCAAAGTTTTTAGATATTTCTCCAATGAAAAAGGCAATTTTAAAACTGAGAGAAGATCTATAGCTTATTCCTCCATCCTGTTAACAGAACGGTTCAGCTGAAAAAAATCAAAAAAGTAAACTTCTTCACATTCATGCTGGGTAAAAGTGAGTTTAAACCTTTCCAGCAGTCTATAATAAACAAGAAGTGTAAGCGTGTACATAATGGAGCCGTTAAAACAAAATCAGAGGTGATGTTAAATCTCTGGGCTTGAGATGCTTCTGTGGACGCAGCTGCCAGAGCTCTCTGTGTGAGTCCTGATACAGAACAAATGTTTGAGCTCCTGATGTTCAGGCCTCTTTGAGCTGGTGATAAAAGGTCAGAGGCCTCGGCTCTGTCACAAGTTATTTTAAGGGGAAGCGTCAGCGGTGGTCTGTGCTGCTGGTGGGATGGAGAGTATTTAACCCGCCTGGGAGAGTTTTTAGCCCCATCCACCACACGGACTCTGACTCAAGGTGAGGAACCATTTTATTTCTGTTATCGGCCGAGGAACCTTTCATTTTAGTTTTAAATGGCAGAAAAAAACCTTGTTTATTCACATTCCTTTAGAATTCAAAATTTTCCAACATTGCAGAGTTATTTGATGGCTTTTGTTTGTTAAAGACCTAATTCCAGTTCTGTGAGATGACGGCTGGAAACTGGAATGTTAAAAAAGGGGCCAGTATAACCTTCATGGCCTTTTCTTTAGGCTCCTGGTAAAATACCTAGCTTGGAAAAAACAGCTGTTTGGACAAACTGCTGGGTTTTCTTTACTGCTATTGAATAGTTCAGAACAATAGAATGACATGGACAGAAAGTGATAGCAGAAGGATATTTCCAGAAAGCAACTATTTACTGCGACATCTTATAATTCTAAGTAAAAATATTTTTGCAGTTATCATTTATTTTAGTATTTTAACATGTTTGTGCTATGTTGATAATAAAGAAGAGACATTTGATCATTTCCAGCCATTCAAGCCTTGAAAGTGAAGCAGAAATCAGAGGAGGTTCTAAGATGCCCAACTGGGGAGGAGGCGCTAAGTGTGCAGCCTGTGAGAAGACCGTGTACCATGCCGAGGAGATCCAGTGTAACAGCAGGAGTTTCCACAAGACCTGTTTTATCTGCAGTAGGGACACTTTTTTTTTTTTTTTACTTAATTTATGGAGGAGTGCATATTGTTAAGCCCAGAGAGGCAGTAAGAGGGAGCATACTGAACATGAATGATTATGATTATACATGATTAAAGTACTAATGACACAAGATTTTTGCACACATATAACATGATTAAAGGACTTCTGGCCTGTTGCATACTAACCTGAAGAATAGTAAGAATCTCTGAACCACACAGGAGTTCCTTCAAACCAGAGACTGAGGTTCTTACTGGTGCCACTAAAACAAGAACATAGTGGATATTTATGCTGAGCTTCTCCCATCACTGTTGTTACCTCTGTGTACAATTTCATTGTTTTTCATATAAATCATTGAATTTTTATTTTTATCTGTATCTTACATACATTCTTTCTTTTTTTTTACTGTTGTTTTTTAACAACAGTGCCTTGCAGCAAGAAGGTTCTAGGTTAGATTCCCAGGCTGGGGTCTTTCTGCATGGAGTTTGCATGTTCTCCCTGAGCATGCGTTGGTTCTCTCCGGGTACTCTGGCTTCCTCCCACAGTCCAAAAACATGACTGTTAAGTAAATTGGCTTTTCTAAAAGTCCCCTTAGGTGTGAGTGTGAATGGTTGTTTGTCCTGTTTGTCTCTGTGTTGCCCTGCGATGGAATGGCAACCTGTCCAGGGTGTACAGTACTCCGCCTTTCGCCCGTAGACAGCTGGAGATAAGGACCAGCACCCCACGTGACCCCACTTGGGATAAGCGTGTTAGAAAATGGATGGATGGAAGTTCCCCTTAACCAAATTAATCCTAAATGTAAATTTGAAGCTTTCCACAAAGTTCAAATGTTTATTCTCCAGGTTAAAAGGCTGGAATCGATGTTTACAGACACAGATTTATAATAAATGTTACAAAGAAAGAAAAAAAGAATGATAGTTGACATTGTATGCTTAACAACTTGTTCTGCATTCAAACTTTTCTTCAAACCTTTTTTCCTGACCTTGTGGCTGTGTTCTGAGGGATGCAAACTTAAACAGAGGAATCATCAACCAACATTAGTGCACAAAAAATGTCCTTTTAATGCACTTAAGATGCTGTGTAATTAAAGTTAGTTTTTAGAGGCTAATCTGTAATAAAAGGACAATAAAAAACAGTTTTGAAGACTTCTTGCAGATTAAAATAAATACAGTTTTTGCTCCTTCCCTCCTGAGTGAAGTCCTGGTAGAAACATCTTTTAATATATTTACTGCTGTAGTTCTTTTGACGTATGTTTCTACAAGCTTTGTCCATCCAGTGGCTGACATTTGTTTCCCATTTTTCATTGAAAATATCTTAACCTTGGACAAAGTTAATGACAAGCTTCTTTCAACATCAACTTTCAGAAAAGTAACCCCACAGCATAATGCTACCAGCACCATGCTTCACCCTGAGAATGGTTTAATGGTTTGCAGTGTTTTTAGCCACACACAGCATTTTGTTATCATTGCCATTAAAAGTAACTTTGTGAACCTTTATTAAGTGATGTCATTATTCTTTACAATCTTTCTCAATTGGCAGATTTTTGAAGAACTATTACTAGTTTTTCTGTTCTCCTCCCTCCAGAGCAGAGGATCTCTGTGGCTCCTACAAAGTTACCAAGTTACCATCTTGGCTGCTTTCTCCTGAATCTCCCAACTTGTACATTTAAGTGGACAGAAAGAACTTCTTTGTTTTTTTTTTCTGACCTAAACCTGCTTAAAAATCCTTTGTAATGTTTTTTTGCTCATAAATGTTCTCTTATGAACCTCTGAGACCTTCAGAAAACAACTGTATTTACCCTGGCATCACTAGATTTACAAATGGACTGCATAACTATTGCACTCTGTCTCACAAACTCCTAATATACATCAAAGCTTGCAGTTATATTGTATAAGTGGATATGCAAATAGTAGGTTTTTCTGTGCTGTGCTAAAAACTTTGACCAGCTTGTTGGTGTCGCTGTGACTGATACATTATTCCACCGGGAAGCTATCAAAGGCCTCTGTGATAAACTCATCCCACCTGCTAAGTGTTCATCTTCTCTCCAACATTCACTTCACACTCCAGGGTCCTCCTGAAAATAGCAACACAAGACATCTGACTTTGCGTGCTGTCACTGATGACTGATAAAGCCAGCTAGGCGGGAGCTTTATTTAACTTTCATCCCTCCAACATGGCATTCCTGCATTTTAATCCATGCATTCCTGAGCCTGGGATAAAATATGAATGTCCTTTATTTTTACAGTGAGCTGCAGAAAAGGGCTCGACAGCACCACGGTTGCTGCACATGAATCTGAGATTTACTGCAAATCGTGTTACGGGAAAAAATACGGACCAAAGGGCTATGGATATGGACAAGGAGCTGGAGCTCTGAGCTCTGATCCTCCAGGACAGGACGGAGAAGCACAGCCACTAAAGTACGGGTTGAACACCAAATAAGGACTTTTACAGATGATGGCCCTAAAATTTGTTGAATTAACACCTTTAACTTTAGATTGAGTAAGAGGTTTTATACATTTTTTGTTGTTGTAGAGACTTACCTTTAGTTTTGTCCGAAAATTTGGAAGTCTTTAATCCTTAAAAACACAAGAAGTTAAACTTGGTTTCTACACAGATTCTTCTAATATTCTTCCAAATGATGCAGAAATGTAGCCTAATGGATTACCAACCAAAAAACAAACATTCCTCCCAATAAGATTCAAAATTTTCCTGCAAATAAGGATATGGAGGCAGTTATTGTTTAAAAGGTGAATAACTATTGATAAGGTACACTTGCATCTTAATCCTTATTTATCTTGATATACTGTATATACCTGGATATACTGTATATATATTGTTTATTCTTAATGGACCTTTTTCCTTCTTGTTTGCACCTTCTTTAATTACTATGCCAATATGTGACGAGTGAATTTCTCTGCTGTAAGATCAATAAATCTAATCTAACCTAATCTAATCTAAGGAGGACCACTTTAAATGATAAAAATACTTTGTTTTAAAAGGAATTATAAACAAGGCATGAACCACGGCTTTCATACAGTACTGTACAATATGCCCTACTATATGTGTGCATATTTTAAAGGATATTAAGCTTTCAGGTAATTTCTTTTTCAGCTCCAAACCTCGACAAACCTCTTCAAACCCCAACTCCAGCAAGTTCTCCCAGAAGTTTGGTAGCTCAGACCGCTGCCCCCGCTGCTCCAAAGCCGTTTATGCAGCAGAGAAGGTGATGGGAGCAGGAAAGGTAAGAACTGTCCCTGAATACTCTGGTTCTCAGTCTGAACCATTTCTTCTTCTATCGGTTTGCTGGCATTCAAGATGGTCACTGCCTAAGAATCCAGAAATAGGAAGAGAAAGATAAAAAGAAGGGTGCTGAGGGCAGATGAGCTATGGCTGAAATATTTCATGGGAACATTAAACATTTTATTGGTTCCCACTCTAAATACTTAAACAATGAACTCTGCATCAGTGAACAAACAGAAATGAATTAATCCATATTTTTAGCTTCTTATGTTTTATTTACACAAACCAGATAGCCTTCCAACATAACTTATATTAACTTAAATTAAAATAGTTCTTAAACAATTTCCCCTCAACATCAGCATTACACTTACCGTACTAAGATTAAATGAAATCACATGGCAGTAATATGTGTATATAGTATGATCTATTTTCAGTTACTGTTATGGTCAGACTCTTAGCAGAAACAAATCCTTACCGTCCACAGTTGTAGAAAAGAAAGCAAAAATAAATAAATGTATTCTTTGTTCAGGCGTGGCATAAAACCTGTTTCCGCTGCGCTCTGTGTGGGAAGAGCCTGGAGTCCACCACAGTGACAGACAAGGATGGAGAGCTGTATTGTAAAGGTACCTTCATTCATATATATATATATATATATATTATATACATATATATGAATGACACATATACATATATATATATTATTATTAAATTGGATATTTTCCAAAAATACATACAATTTCAACAATAACCTACATCTTGGTTAGGTATCTTCTTACTCTGTCATCCAAGGACATTTTTTTTCTCCACTGTCCTATTCAGATGTAATTCTAAACTCTGGCTTGATCACAAAACATCTCTTACTTTTTTATAATAGTAATTTAAAACTATTATTTGGAGCTGCTCATAAGAAAAGTTACCACCAAGAACGATGCTGCAACCACCATGATTCATTGTGGTTAAGGTGTGCAGCTTGAAATTAAATTGTATTTGACATTGAATTGATGATTATACATTGGTGATTATACTGAACAGACTGTATTTAATAGTATGAAATTGAATAAAAATTGTATCCAATGTTAGGTCCATTAATTTGGCTGAATTTTAAACAGATTTTATTGCTCTTAAAATTCAGTTTGACCAATTTCTCTTTTGATTTAAAAATCCAAAAACGATTCTAAAATTTGTATTTTTTTTTTCTCACATCTGGGTCTTCGAAAAACAGATTTTTCTGGTCTTTCTCAAGGATCCTGATGTATGTTCACAAAAAATAATCAGAATTTTGGAAAATTGAATTCTTTATACAACCTGAATTTTTAATGCAATAAAATACAGCATCAAATTCCTTCAGTTTCACTAATAGTTTCAGTTTAGTGAAATTCATTTTACAGTAATTCTGATTTATTTAACTTTAAAATTCAGTTTCTATTCAAATTTAGTTTGCTGATGGCAAAGGTTTCCGTCGTACTACTGACTGAAACCTTTTCACTGGGATCATTCATAACCTTTCTGCCGTTTATGGCTTTAGTTGAAGGATGTAGGTTTCAGGGAACTTTAACAGCCAAAATCTGTTTCAGTTTAATCAGTTTCACTTCAACCAACAGCTGGTCTAAACTCAAAAAGAAGGAATGATGGAACTAAAATAAAGATTGCTTCAGCAAGGGCTTTGCAACCCTATGCAATGAAGTTTGGACAGTCGCCTGACTTAATAGCTGAATTCCACATAATATCTGTTATATTGTAGGTGGAGAAAGTTATGGCCTCTCCAAAATATCTAACTCCAAATTAGGGATGTGTAAACTTTGAGATCCATAGTGTAAAGCTCAAGCTTGATTATATGATAAAAGCACAAACAGGTTTCCACTAATAAAGCTTTGTTTTATATTTCTATTTTCAGTTTGCTACGCCAAAAACTTTGGTCCAAAAGGATTCGGGCTTGGCAACGAGGCCATGTTGGAGGAGCGTGAATAAACCTATGGCTCTGCTGAACCCATGGCGCCTCAACCCTGAAGAAAGATGAGCATTATCAGCAATGTTTAAACTCACAAAATAAAAGCATTTTGTTACATCACCGTTTATCATTGTGCATTTATTTAATTTCTGAAATCCTAATTGTCTTTTAAAGCTGATCTTTCATGACTTATGGTGCAAACTTCCTTATTTATAGTATTATTGTTGCTTTGTGGATGTAATGCACTGTTTGTACTTCAGCTAAGTAAACATTACTGCTATGTAGACTTAAAATCTATACAGATAAATAACTAATAATGAACGATTTAAATCAGCTCTCTTCAACTAATCAAAGACTATTAATTTAAATTATAATTTTTTTTTATCAAAAGAAGCAATGTCATAGAGAACTTTAAAATTAAACCAAAAGCTGTTTTTAAACAGGAATCGTCTTACATTTCTTCAGCCAGTTATAGAAATATCCTCCAACTTTTTGTTTTAAAAAGACTCAAGTAAAAGCGAGTTTTCAACCGTTAGAAAGACAGGCACAAGATTGCTTTATTGAAGTATATAATAGTGGTCACTTGTTATGAAACACATGCAGCTTTTATAAAAGTCATAAAACAAAACCATTTTAGACATACAAATCTTGTTTTCATCTTGTTAGATGATAAAAATAAATGTGTTCATAAAAACAGCACAAAACGTCCAGAACTATTTAGGCCTTAAAGATTTTTCCATTTTTACTCACATTGGTCATAAGGCAGCAGCAGACTGTACAAAGATCACCTGGATCATATGGTATCTACATCTCCTCTGTATTTTTCAACCTCTACTATTATTAAGTCTCTCTTTACAAATGAGCAAAAGGATGGACAAGTACATAAATACATTCTGTGCTTTTGGTCCAGGAGCGGTCCCACACGGACATTTTTGCGGTGGGGATGAGGTCAGATCATGTTCATTTGTTCCAACAGGTACTGGTCACGCTGGGACTGAAACTGGGACGTCCAGTCGATGACGGTCGGCTTGCAGAGGCCACAACAGCGCAGCTGGAAGAACGTCACCAGGTTCTGCACCACGCCCAGGCTGCAGACAGACGGGTCAAGAAGAAACCAGAGTGGTGAAAAGGAAATGGAAACTTTGAGGATGCAAGCCTCTAATTTCCAGCTTATTTTAAAATGTGTTTCTGCTTAAATCCATTGGTTTAATAAGCTTAAAGTCTAGTTTTTCTGTTGTTCTGTTGAAGAATGCAAAGCTGTTTAAAATTTTCCACTGGTCCATACAGAAACTGGTTCCATAGTGGAGAAAACTACCACAACCTTCTGAGTCGTTATATTATGGAAAGATAAGCTTTTCACTATGAACAGAAAATGGTGAATGAGAAGTTGTTTGATGTAAATCAGAGTTGAAATGATTGCTTTCAAACCTACAGACTCCTTCAACATCTGAGCAGAGTAAACACACACAAAGTCCACTTCCAGGTCCTCCCAGTGTTAACTGGGTTCGATCAGAAAGCCGAGTCAAATTGGGATTTATTATCCCAGTTGAGAATAAATAAATAAAGTGAGATAATCATAAAGAATATAGTTATACTAATTTAAGACTTGTTCCAAACTCCCTGGAATAATTAGATAGTTTAGTCTACTTTTGATTTTAACCAGGTACCGGCAACTAGTGGCTCTTAATAACTTTGCCGCAGCATTTTTAAAATATATTTATATATTTTTTAAATTGCACTCTCAACATTTTCTAGCAATATCTGAAGAGAATTTACAAAACCAAAAGACACAAACTACCGTTTTCCACCCATTTCTCATATATACAAGCTTGTTAGAAACTAAACAAAAGGACTTAAGATTAAATTGAAGGTTTATATTTCAGCATGAAAACAGCACAAAACATGCGACAGCTCCCAGAATGCAATGGTCCTGTGTTTGAATCATCAAGTGAAGTCCAGAAAAAATATGAATGGGAAACACTCATTTATTAGAGGCAAGAAAAAGTGTTTTAGCTACATGCCGTAATAAGCTTAACTGTTAGATCTTAGATCTAATCAAACTCAAGAAATAATAACATGTTAATAACCATAAATCCTTTATAAGTACCAATTAGTATTTGGTTTGCTCTATCAAATACATTTCTAGTAAAACAAAATTTATTATATGGTTAAACATCTAAATAGAAGGAAGAAAAAAAAAACATTTTTTAAGGCACTACATATAAAGACAAATAATATACCTTTGTATATTATTACCTTAATATACCTTAGTTTAACTTAAGGCATAAACAATGACTGATAAATAATGATAAACAAATAAAAACAGACCAAAACACCTGTCTTCACAGCTATGTTTTTTTATGTATTCACCTTTAAAGCTAAATACTTTGATTTGCCTCTATAGTCCAGTATCAGGTAAATCCTTCATAAACAGGAGAGGAATATCAGTGAACTCACTTGAATGGATTTTGTCTCAAGGACACAGATTGTCTCATTCTCCTTTGTTGGAAGATCCGATTTGTTCTCTCTGAAGATGTTAATCCCAGGAATGCAATCTGATCAGAAACACAGAAAAAAAAACAAGGAAAAACATTATTCAAAAACAACAATGTTCATTAAGTGAACAAAGGCAGGAGATAAGAAAAGCAGCTGAACTGGTTTTATAGGTTTAATGGGTGTTAAGACCTCTAATCTGATCTGAAACTACCTACAGATCGTTAAAAGTCATTCTTTTTGCCTCAATAAAAAAGAAGAACTTTATTTCTGTTTGTTTTATTTTAAGTCCAATTTGTAGTCATCTTTTTTTGTTACATTAGATTAAAAGATTAAGTTTTACCGCAATAATAAAAAGACATCTGTGGGCCATAGAAACCCATCAACAGATTTCAGCCATCACCTGGTAAAGCTGCCCTATCAGGAACAAAGTGGACCAGCAGGTATGGTAGAAAGACAGCACAAAGATGAAGAGCACCCAGGGGGAGCAGCTGATGCCTGCAGACAGGACCCCCCACACACCCTGATCCTCATAATGCAGCAAACAGTGACTTTTCCAGTCTGGAAGGACAGAAACATTTATTTTTATTATGCAGATCCATCAGCTTCTGTTATACTTTTGCTTATTGACTCACATGTAAAACAACCGTAGAGCATCGAGCTGCCCAGCAGCGAGAGGGCGAGCAGAAAAAGGACGAAGTAGCGGTGGTTCCTTGCTCCTAAAACATTAACATGAAGGTTAACAGTTTATATTGAGCAGACAGAATAGATCACTAAAATCGTATGGCTTAGTTTCTAATCTGCACAGATATTGATAGAAACTTGTCTTTAATAATCAAAGTTTTAAAAGCTCAGCATTTATCAATAATCAATTGATTTGTATAATCAACCTTGAAGAGAGACAGTAAATAGTACAACACATCTAACATTTTCATTGATGCTCTTCCAAAGGACTAATTCTATCTTAGTTTCCCTCTCCTCTTTTGTCTTTACATGTGAGGTTGTCTAATCCCGAACAAAAAGATTCCGTCCAGCTGAGATGACCTTTAGCCCAGAAAACTGTCAAAGTTTTCCAAAAACATGACAGGGTTTTTAAGTTTCTGTTTGAATATCTGAATCCCAAGTTTCCCCAACGTACCACTGACCCCATGTGGTGAAAACTGATCACAGCAACACAAAGGACTTCCAGGATGTTTTCTAAAGTCAGAATGTGGTTTTAATTATTGCTCAATGCTGCTTCATATTCTACTATACATTAAAGTAATGATTGAAAATATATTTAAAAAAATAAATATATTTTTTAAATGACATGCTATTGAAAATACTTGAGCAGATCACTGATTCCGAGTCTGACTTTTTCACGAGGTCGTGAACATCAACAGCTTTAAACACCAACCTCTAGGAAGCAGCATTACTCACAAGCTCTTTAGAGACTGAAATTATACAAAGTTGAAATAGAATATATGTTTAAGTTATAGAATCAAACTATTCTTCACGTGAAAGTTTTTAATCATGTTGTGGCATATATAAAAATAGCATATTTATATAGCATGTCTTATTTATTCCTTTTTTTTTTTTTTTTTAGAGTTTTATGAACTAACAAAAGAAGACTATGAAAACTGTGCCCACCGGGACTTAACAAATAAGTCCATGTATCAGAAAATGTCCACTTCAAATTTAAAGCGACGCATCGAGTTAAAGCATCCAAGCTATCTTGGGAAATATCTGCTACTGAATGAGGAACATAAGAAAATGTTTTTTATACAGAGAATTTCAGCAGAATCTAAATGTACCTGTATGTTTCTGAAGTTCTGAATAATCTGGCTAAATAAAGGCTTCACTCTACATACAGTATACCTTGACTGCATCGAGTATTTTCCATTTTTTTCTATATATTATGATCACACATTTAAAAGGATGATATATATTAGATTCTGTTGTGTAGGATTGTGGCTTTATTTATTTAATAAACTTGAACTAATTAATGTATATGTTTTTGAACTTTGTTCATTTTTGAAAAAGTGAACTTTGAACATGAGGTAGTTCGTTTTCATCTGTTTGAACTGAGCTTTGAGCTTGTTCTTTTTAATTATGAACTGGCACAACTTTGCATGTTTTGCCAGTTCTATCTTGCTTAATTTTAGTTCATATTTTAGAAGTTTAATATTCCTTATATAGCAGCAAAGCCAAGCAGAAACCAAGGCAGCAAATTAGCCAGTGGTTAGAAGGCCTGGTTCAAACAACTGGAATAAAATCAGGCTCGTCAGCAAAGACAATGAAAAAACTTGCTTTTGTATTTGTGTTTATAGAAAAATTCTTTAATTAAACTGAAGGAAACGGCTGCATATATCAACTAATCTGAAGTGCTGTAATGCACTTAGAACTGTGTGGAATATATATATATTTTAACCAACCAGATTTAGGTTTGACACTTTCAGTGGACTATAGAAACTTTCCATGCTAACCTGATGACAAAGCTACTCATTATCTGCTAATTCCCCTCATTATTCAGTCGTACCTATGCAGGTGTTGATCCACTCAGAATGGTGGTCTTGCTTTGCCACGCATGCATCACAGCTAAAGCAGTGAGCCGCTCTCAATGGTTTCTTTACCTGGAAGATGGGAAGGGATGTCATGTAGTTTAGATTTTTGCTGCTGTTAAATCAAGTTTTTAAGATTTAACGACTTACCATACAGGAAGTGCAAAATACTCTAGGGTCCAAACAGCCCGCCTCAGCCATCGCCACCACGTTCTGAAATCCCAAATGCAAAGGAAAAAGTATAAGGTTCTGGAAATGATTACATGCAAGAGCTTTAAATGAGTTACAAGTTTAAAGACCTTGCCCACCATTTTCTTCTGTTCTTCTGTAGTTTTGATGAAACCAGGGTCTGTCCTGCAGGTTCGAAGGAAGTAGTAGAGAAGAGCGGTAGCATTCAGAATGAACAGTACCTGAACCGTTGTGCTGGGTAGATGTAGATTTAGGTTAAGAAAACAAGAAAGCCAGGCTTGTTCAGTGTGCATTTGAAGTTTTACTGGAAACTCTGAGATGGGAGGAAGCTTTTAGGATTATATCAATGTTTCCTTTCATTTTGAAGGGAAGGAAAAAGAATCTCTAGTGTTGAAATGTATGTAGGCAAATAAAAATGAAACAATATGAAAGCTGAGCTTTTTGAGTAAACCTCCCTCCCTTTCAAACTAAAAAAAGCCACCTATATAAATTTTAATCTTTATTAATGGAAAATAAGACTGCCAAAACAAATTTTTAAGAATTTCTCTTCATATAGGAAGGATATCTGGCAGGAACCAGAGCCACCAGGTGACGAGCATCCAGAACACTGATGCCATCAGTGCCGAAGGCAGAAGAAGCGACTGAAACTCAGGGTTTGGAGAATTCCTGTTTTCAATTGCAAACAGTTGTGGTTAAATTTCCTTTAACATGAAAACTATTTGCTTTTACATGTCCGTTAGCTGAAAGAGGATCTGAAGGCAAACAGGTTGTCACCTTGAGGCTAGGTTAATCACAGCCATCACACAGACTAACAGGATACTTTTGAGTAACCAGGACTCTGAGTTCATATCAAATATTGCTCCCACACATCCGAATAAGGCAGTGCTAAATAGGAACTGCACCAAAACCTGCAAAAATATCAGAAAACAAGATGAAAGCAATCCAAGTGGCAGGTGCTCCTTCTTACTTCTTTCTATATGATTAGGGGCTATAAATTTATACCTTGTATCTGACAATGAAGCGTAGACAGCGGGAATTAGAGCGGAGCCTCTCCTGTTTAACGATATTTAGTATGCGAATGAGCAGCGGGCTGTTCACTTGGTGGGCCAAGTCGATGGGTGTGTGACCCTGAGGAATAAAACACATCATTCAAAGGGGAACAATTACTCTTGGTTTAAATTATATTTTTCCTACTTTATTGAATCCATGTATGGGAGAAAAAAAATTAGGACTGCTGAGAGCATATTTGAAATATATAATTTTCTCATGATTTCAGGCATGGTCTACTGTTTTATATATTTTAGAAACTTTAATAGGCTGCATAAAATTTTATTGCAGACACCTAGATATGGTAGATTTTAGCAGAAAATACTAAAATGATAGATCTACCTCCTAATTTAACAAGACAAAGCTTTTTTCACATAGAAACATCTTTGGTTAATTTAATATTTTCTCAGAGGGATGGCCGTTTAAGTACTGCTTCTGTGTTTATGACTCATTATAAAGTAATGCCTGATAATTAAAGTAGAACACTAAATATAACAGGACCAGTTCATGATGAGCATTTACAAAGGATCAGACTGATTTCCTGTGGAGATCAATTCGATTTATACACAGAGATTGAGATCAAAAACATTATACAGTTAGCACAAGCTTTCAAGTCGTTTTTGTTTTATTTAAAGGAGGGGTTCCATAAAATTCCAGCCCGCAACCCCAAAAAACAGCTGCCAAAATATAAAAGCATGGAATTAAATTCATTTTTAAATTAATTTATTTAATATATAATTTGATCTAACATTTAAAATGTACATTTAATGTCACCCATCAGGTGTCAATAGACCCTCCAGAAAGTCCCAACCCCCACGGTGGAAATTTCTTCTAAAGCATGTCCTTAAACCCTGCAGTATCTCTACTTGTCAAACAGAGAGAAGTGCAGAAAAGTGCAGAATGAAATCTGCACTTTTTGCCTGAAATGTGATCATCTAAAAATTGTGAAACTCACGTTGATGTTTTCAGCGTCCACGCTTGCACCTGCCTCCAACAGGACGTGGGCAGCGTCAACATTACCCGCAAGCACTGCGCAATGCAGCGGCGTGTTCCTGTTAACTTTGTCCACAGCACTAACCGAGGCGTTGTTTTTGATGAGGAAGTTTGTGGGCTCAGGCCTAAGGCAGAAAAACACAAACCTTTAATACAGACAACCGAGGCACAGCCCACTGAATACTCAGAAGAAAAGAAAAATTAAAATCTAACATTTTTGTGTCAAACCAGTGAGGGAGGGTCTTACCCAATGATCTTCTGAGCTGCTAACATCAGAGGTGTCTGTCCGTTACAGTCAGGCACATCCACTTCCTGATCATAACGAAGCAACAAGAAGTAAAAAAATGTTAAGAAAGCAAAAGAAAACTAAGAAAAATGACCCTGTGTGGAGTCTGACCTCTCCTTTCGCCATAAGATAAGCAGCAATGGCCATGTGCTGGAAGAGGATGGCGAGGTGGAGTGAGCGGTAACCCTCTCCATCTGTGATGGAGGGGTCTGCTCCGTATCTCATCAACTGGATCACCATGGGAAGGTGGCCCTGTCTGCACACACATACAGAACATACACAGAAAAACTGGCTTTATGCAAAGAGCAATGACAGAAAGAAAAAAAAAAACACTCCTGTAAACACCTAAATCCAAATATAAACAAATATTTATTTTTTAAATGAGGAAAAGGTTGTATTTCCCAGCTGAATATTAAACTAGATCAGTAAAATGCTGGTGAAGATTCTCAGTCACTCAGGTCATAGTTGTTCCAAAACAAGCAATCAACTGGACTTTGTTTCCTAGTTTTAAGACGTTTCGTTTCCCATCCAGGAAGCTTTTCTGGAGTCTCTGAAAGACACAAGAAGCTTTTCTCCAAACACAAAAAACCAGTACAAACCAAACAAGACCCTTAAACAGAGACTAGAGCCTCCTAAGGACAAAAACCCCAGACCACATATGAGCGGAGTGGTGTATGCAGTTCAGTGCAGTGAGGAATGCTCTGATCTTTATATTGGAGAAACCAAAAAACCTCTCCACAGACGCATGGCCCAACACAGAAGAACTACTTCCTCAGGACAAGCCTCAGCGGTACATCTATACCTTATGGACAAAAGACATTCTTTTGAGGACTAGAATGTGAACATTCTGGAAGATAGTTTGTTTAAGAGGGGTATAAAGGAAGGCATCGATGTTAAACAGAGGGGGTGGACCCTAGTTTCAGCTTTCAAAAACCTACAATGCAGCGATTGATGCAGTTGATTCTTTCCCACCATCATCGCAGCCCCCACCATACAGGGGAAGAGAACATCATGCCTGTTCAGCCAGGCCAACAATTCCCCCTAACGATCCCCATTAAGAGACATAGATAGGTATCGGCTATTGCAGGCTAACAAAGAACCAAAACGACTCCCCATCCCTAAGGGGTGGACCTTAAAAGCCTCAAGGTGATTTCTAAGCCAAAATGAGGCTTCGTTTTGCGCCACATTTTCAATTGAAAAAGCTTTATGGAAAACTTGGAAACAAAGTCCAGTGATTATTTTTTTTAACTTTTTTGGAATAGAGCAGTAAAACCATAATGCTCCAACCTTATGGCCCAGTGGAGTGGAGTAGAGTTCAGGTCTCCTCCCAGCTGGTCAATGATTGCTCCTTTGGATATAAAGTACCTAAAAAAAAACCCAGAAGATACAGAAAGCTGTTTATTTATCATACAAAAACATCCCAGAGTAGCTTGACTACTTTCTGTTTTTAAGGTCTTAAAAACAAAGTTGACCAGAAAATGGAAAGAAGACAACAACAACAACAACAAAAAAAGACATTAAATAAAATATAACTTTAAATAGTAGACAAATTGGGCCTTAAACAGATTACAGAGGTGATACAATACAATAGTAAACACATTCATATTTACTTCAAGTCTTGATTTAATGGTTAGTTTGGCTGCAAAATACATCACACCCCAGTTGTTTCCAAAATATCAACATGTGAAGAATTTGAGCTGCACAGTTTTATTTGGATGAAATGTTCAGAGGTCATCATACTTCAGGCTCTGTGCATCAAAACTTTGCAGAAGAGAAATTATGATGATAGAAAAGTAGAAGAATGGTGAGGGAATAGTCTTCACAACCACCAGAAATATTGCAGTTCTAACACTGTGTTGCTTTATGCAGACGGAAGTCTGAGAAATGCTTCACTCTAACTTTAAACCAAAGCTACTTCGGTTTTTGTATTTATTATAAAACCTAGTTACACCCATCTCCCTCCCAATAGTTCCCTCCAAGCCTGTTTTATTTGATCTATAGTTGGTTTGCTTGCATAGACTGGCTCTTGAAAAATGTTGGGAATTTTGTTCAGATAAGCATGCCTCTCCTGTAGGCAAACAAACATGTATAAATTGTAATTTAGGCTGGGCTCCAGTGGTGCAACAAGGCTAGGGAGAGCCATGAAAGATCCATGTAAAGAAACCTAAGTCCTTGATGCAGCCGTCTGTTCCGCTCCTTCAAGCGGCCTCAAATTGTAACTCCTACCTACCATTCCAAGCTCTTCTCCACTCACCTTTTAGGGGTTAACAAAAACACTATCTAGGGTAGGAAAGGAACTCTGGAACGTGGTTCCATACTGATTAAACATGTGTTACACAGAGTTCATGTCGAAAAATAATGTATGTTTCATCAACTCTGTGAGGTGGGCTCTGCTTTTACATTCTGTCACTTATTGGGGGGCAACCATAAAGCTCCTAGTAGCAGATAGAGCTAGATCCTGCTTCCTCTTCCTGCCTTCTTCCATACTGCCACCACTATTTGGATTGCACCTATCAGTTTAATTTGCATTTAGCTGAAAAATCCCAAATCCAGGATGCATCTTCCTGCATCCAGCAGTGTCACTGCCTGGGCATCTACTGGTGCCCAGGCCCCCAGATCCTGTGAGCCGCACAGAGTTGGTCTGCATGTTTCAGCCTTCATAGCAGAGCATATAGATTCCTGCCTCTCATAACCAGTGCTTTCATTTTGCATTTTATAATGGATTCATCAGAACAGTTTGCCTTCTAGCAAACAAACAACTAAATTTTAGTTTAGATGGGCTCCTTATGTCGTTTCTTCTTCCACTGCACAACTGTCAGTGAGGTGACGAGAGTGGCTTTGATGCTGCGCATCTTTGCGACTGGCTGCTCAGAGCTTGTGTTGCTGCAAACTAGAGCCCAGAGAATATTATCAGCTCCTTTAAAACTGTTCCCTATGAATACTTATCCCTGGAAGAAGTACTTTCCTGCTGAACAGTGTAGTGAAATACAGCATGTTGGGTTACATGCTCCCAGGTTGATTTCTGTCATGTTGGCATGTTCTAAGTATAAGCAATGTTTAAAAAACATTAGTCCCATTTTATGTTGTTTATTGCCTCACTAACATCTCGGCATAAAGCAGGTGATGCTCATCTGATCAGTTAAGGTGGACGGATGTGTGTTGATAGTGGGTTAAAACAGAAGGGATGTAGCAATGATATTATAACAGCACCATGACACCCAGAGCTTAGTTTTAATTACCTTGATTCTATAGCTTTATACTATTTTTGAATATTGTTTAGTTCATAAATTATGTGAGGAATGTCCATTCATATAGAACATTTTAAAAATATGTATTTTTTTAATAAAAGCTAAACTTGATCTGTTTCAGTTCAGTTCAGACCAAAAGTTTGGACACACCTTCTCATTCAAAGAGTGTTCTTTATTTTCATTACTATGAAAATTGTAGATTCACACTGAAGGCATCGAAACTATGAATTAACACATGTGGATTTATATACTTAACAAAAAAGTGTGAAACAAATGAAAATACAGTCTATTCAGTAGGACTATCAGCTGTGTATCCTCCTGACTTCTGCACAACACAACTGATGGTCCCAACCCCATTTATAAGGCAAGAAATCCCACTTATTAAACCTGACAGGAGACACCTGTGAAGTGAAAACAGTTTCAGGTGACTACCTCTTAAAGCTCATCTAGAGAATGCCAAGAGTGTGCGAACCAGTAATCAAAGCAAAAGGTGTCTACTTATAAAAACCTAGAATATAAGACAAATTTTCACTTGTTTCACACTTTTTTGTTAGGTAAATTCATAGTTTTGATGCCTTTAGCGTGAATCTTTAATTGTCATAGTCATGAAAATAAAGCAAACTCTTTGCATGAGAAGGTGTGTCCAAACTTTTGGTCTGAACTGTGCAGTCTTGTCTCAGGAATTGATTTTTAAATCAGGCATAAGAGCAGACGGTCAGACATCTCAAGAAAAGCAGCAGGTTTTAATAAGGATTTAAAAATTGATCATTATGAGTTAAAATCTTTTTAAAAAAAAATCATAGTGGTGTATTTCATTCAGATATTAAAATTGTTAGAGACAAAAAAAAAGACTAAAGTAAATTTAATTTCAGAAACTCTTACTTGACCAGCTCCAAGCGATTGTTGATCGCCGCCCAGTGCAGCAGAGTGACGTTCTCTTTGTCAGGCTGCCTGACGTCATATCCTGCCTCTACCAGCTCCTTACAGCGTTCAAGGATCCCAAACCTGACAGGATGAGAAAGAGACTTAATACACTTATTCTTAAAGAGAAGCGTAAAGGTAAAAATACTATACTAAAAAAAACCCAAAAAAACAGTCTAAATGTAAAGAAAGCCACAAGGAACAAAAGAAGTTATTGACTAAATCCAGTGAAGCAAAAGGTTTTCAGCGCATCAAGCTTGTAAAACAGGTTCTTTTAATCTGATTTTAGACAATGTGAAACAAAATTGCTTATTCTGACACTTGCTGAGGTGAACAGAACCAGCAGCACATGGATTCCAGTCATTCTCTGCGGTACATCGACTCCCTGATCAGATACATTAACACTTGTACTCAGATCTCAACCTTCAGTCTAAAAAAGAAGCTTTCCAGCATTTGAACAAATTTAAAATAGGAAAATATCTAAGGCTGCAGCACAACTATTTAAATACTTGACCACTGTTTGCTCATAGTCATATAATGTACA